CCAACTCGAAACCCGACGATCTCCACTCTTTGAGTGTTTATACACCGTGAAAAACACAAAAGCTTCTCGAATTTATTCATGTTGCCTCAGCGAGCATTGCATCGAATGCGTCCTGCACCGGGCTGGCTGCTTCCTTGGAAGGGGAACTCACGATAACGAAAAGCCTTGCTAAGACCACTGAGGCCTCCTCAGTGGTCGATAATGCCTACGCCCCAGAAAACAAAAAAACCTTCTCACATGATTCCATGTTACCGCTGGTACCGTCGAGGCGGCATCAACTGCGCCCTCAGAGGCAAGGAAGCGCCAGAAGACCCGAACCCCAGCACGTTTAGAAAAAGCCATCAACTTAGAACCAGGATTTAAGTGTGGGTGCCCTGCTATGACCACTGAGGCATCCTCAGTGGTCCCAAAGGCTAAGCCCCTGAAAAGAAAGTTTTAAAGGCTTCCCACATAGTTTGGTAAAGGAAGATCTAGAACACCCATAAAACCGGACTAGCCAAAGTTGAGCGGCTGCCCCTGGCACCATGGAGGCCTCGGCTGCCCCTTCTGCCACAGAGGCCTCCTCAGTGGTGTCTGCTGAATGGTCAACTTACGTTAGAGCCTTGAAAGCCACATCCACGTCACCTCCACCTCCGACAAAGCCCGCTCCCACCCCCCCCCCCCCCAAACCAAACCCAACTATTCTGGGTTGGGTTTGCCCCAAACGACTTGTTCCTCTTCAATTGGCACCTGCGCGTCAGCCCCCACCCCCCACCCCCCCCCCCCCCCCCCCCCCCCCACACCCTCTGACCCCCCCTTCCCTGCAAAGCCCCCGAGCCAACCACTTCCCAAACCTTCCTTTGGAGACTGCAGGGGTCCCCGCCGGGGGGCTTAGGGGGGTCGTTGGTTTTCATGTCAATAATTCAGTGAATTGTTGACGCCAGAATGGGAACGGGTTTGGGCAAGCGAAGACCTCCCACTGCCCAAACATCTGCCTTTTGAGCCAGGGGGTGGCAAGATGTACACCACGGATGTGCGTTTGGATTTGGCCAGATTTGAAAACTTGAAAAACCAAACCAATTCTTGTTTCTTTGCAGACAAGAGCAAAATGCTAACTTGCCTGGATGGATCTCAGGGGTTGATCTTGAAGGCAGAAGCTGAATCTCGTGATTTCCCTGAAAATCAGACAATTTCGCCTTGGGCGGAATCTCGGGTTTTTCCTGAAAAACCGACAATTCGGCCTGGGGCTCCTCAGCTGAGAACCCAACAGGAAAGTTTGCAGAGCAAAACGCACATAGACGTCACCGATGTGCGTTTTGGATTTGGCCAGATTTCTGAACTTCTAAACCAAACCAGGTCTTGTTTCTTTGCAGACAAGAGCAAAACGCACATAGACGTTCTGCGTTTGGCCAGATTTGAAAACTTCTAAACTACACCAATACCCCCAATGCAAACAACCGAGTTTTTGAAACTCAGCTGTTAGCTGTTTGGGGGCTGTGGGAGACCAGAAAAGAAGAAGCCAACGCAAACCGATTTTTTTGGGGCTGGGCTGTTTGGGCGGGTCCCTCCTCCCCCCTCCCTGTCCACTGTCTCCCGCCCACCCCCCACCCCCCCAACCCCACAACTTGCCAATAAAGAATCCAAAAAAACAGCACACTGTGCTAATATCTCTTGAAGCCACCGCCGCTGCGCGAGCCTCCTCCGCTGCCGCCAGGGCTAGACGGGCTCCTCGGTGGATGTGTGGGATCAGAAATAAGGTCACATAAAATAATAACCTGAACCAAAGGCTAGGCTTAGGTCAAAGCTAGTCTTTCAAAAAATTCTGTAACATACAAACCAGTTTCGCTTTGGCGGCCTCCTGCCCTCGCGGCGGATCCGCGAGCCGTCCTTGTGGTAGAGGCCCGCAGCCTCCCTGGACGCCTGCACGGCAGTGACCCTTGCAGCCTGCTCGACGCGGTCCATGGCAGCACAGCGAGGGAGGTTTATGTTTAGGTTTAGTTTATGAGTCTTAGGGTTTCTGCTAGGGTGGCTTAGGGTTGGCCGTAGAGCAGTGCTCGACACTCTCGAATTTATATAGGGTGTTTACAGTGGTCTATAGGTGTGTCTTTGGTTTCTAGATTATTTAGATTCTATTTACAGGATTCAAGGCTCAGGCCTTCGAATTAATTGCCATAGCAGGCAGTGTCTTAGGGTTTGGGGTTGAGGGTGAAGGGTTGATGGTTTGGGTTTAGGGTTAGGGTTTCGGGTCTGGGGTTCAGGGCTCAGGGATTAGGGTTTAGGTGGAAGACGTGGTGGTCTTGGAGCCAGGGACCACACCACCACGTTCGAAGAGATCGTGGGTTGGTTCTAGGGCATCCCAACTCTTCGATGTCCAGCGTTCCACAACAGGCCCGCAAGACGCACAACCACGCGCAAGGTTCCGAAACCAGAATCAGGGGACACAGCGACGGGCGTTTGGTCAAACCGGGTTTAGGGGGGTCTGGCATTTTTCAGGGTTTCACGACAACTTCAACCCTTAGCCTTGGCACGGGGACGGGTAGAAGCAGTTACGAGCCCAGACACACTCAAGAACTCACACCCCGAACAAATCTCCGGGGAGTGCGGTAGACCCGACTTTTAGAAGACCTGGGCCCCGGCTAATTGTCTGCTGGCAGTGTGTAGGACGCAGACCTCGGAAGAAGATCAATCTTCATGGCATCAGGCGCTTTCTGATAGAGTCTGAAAGAGGGCGATAGGCGAGAGGCTAGAGTTCAAGCTTGGGAAGAAGCCCTAGACCATTGTGAACCTGCAGTTCAGGAGCTTACCTTGAATAGTCAGCATGGCTACTGCTTGCATTCTCATGCTTTCCATGTTTGCTTACATTTGTTCAAGGTGCCACTGAGGCTGCCTCAGTGGCACCTTGAACAAATACACGTACATCCTTGCAGCACGAAGCCACCAAGCACCTAGCCGCTTCAAACCCACTAGCTTGTGTTCTGGTTCATGCCACGGAGGCCGCCTCCGTGGCACGATCCCGAAACCTGATCCCGAAACCTTACATTCCCGAAGCCTCCCCCCCAACCCCTATTGCCGAGGCTGTGACCCGGACACCTCGGTGCCACCGCCTAACGACACCCAAATCCTGGCAGCCCAGACCCGAACCCTAAAGCCACAAGCTAACTGGCTTCTTGTAGCCAAGACGAGTAAACCCTAAACCCGAAACCCTAAACCGATATAGAGCGGTGTCCTAGGTTGCCAGCTTCTTGCTCACAGTTACAGTTTGGCACCGAGGTGCCCTCGGTGCCAGATTATTGTGTGAGCTAGCTTACATGGCTGTTGAGGGGTCTGGTTCCATTGCTGAAGGGTCTGATTTCCTTCTGATGGAAATGCCAAACTACTTCTTACATATCCTCACACCCAAACCCTTGAGCAATGAAACTCCTGACGACAACGGCGAGCAAGTGCCTGAGCACACGTGCCTCTTGGAAGTTCTTGCTGATATTGAGTGGTAGCTCCCCCGACGGGTCCACATCTGATTGCATTGTTAAGGTTGATCAGGGGTGTTGGGTGGTTACTGTTGAGATTTGTCACAGGCACGGACGCCGAGGAAGCAAGGGTGTTTCCACATACTATGTTTCTACGGCTTGGCGTTTCAGGGAGCTTGGCTTGACAACTCAGGGTCCAGCAAGGCCTCCAAGCGTTGGTCGGGTATCTGAGTTTATGCTTTTATAGAACTTTTCTTAATTTAATGATTTATAGCCTTTCATGCATAGGTTTCCATTGGTGAGTTGAAACCGGCTCTTCACCAAACGCTATTCTCGGGGCGTCTTCGGCGAGATGTACCTGTTGCCCCCCGATAAGCAGAGCAACAAACCCCCGGCCCCAGAAAGTGTTCTTGAGATTGAATTTTCACGGAAGTTTGTTGATATATTTTGCTTCTCAAGTGGAGGGAGGGAGGGACTGAGCCTCAGGATTATTGTTGTTTGCAGTCTTGACGACTTCACATGTATATAGGCGATGTGTGGAAAGTGCCATAAAAAGCTATAAGACTATGTGAGTTCACGGGTGTCTCGCACGCTTTCTTTTCACCTCGAAAAAGTCTGGACCTGATTGTAAAATAATGTTGTTTCGAAAAGAATTTTCTCGCCACTTGAGCAGCGGCGCCGCTTGAACAGTTATCGAAAAACATGTGCATGACTGTCAAAGCCACTTGATCAGTGGCACCACTTGAACAGTGGCATATGTGCATGTCAATGCCACTTGACCAGTGGCGCCACTTGAACAGTGGCACATGTGCATTTCAGTCCATGCTCTAAACCCTAAACTTCCTAAACCCTAAACCCACTCATTCTCTTTAAGCCCGGCGCCGGACGAGTGTCTGCCAAGTGCAGGATTCAGGGGCGGGCTTGAGGCAGGTGCTAGGCTTTCATGAGGCTTTCTGGCTTTCTACCCTATTGCTATCAGGAAGGGGGAAGCGGGGGTTGGTTTCAGGCCTCACAAGGGGGAAGGTAGGGTTTCAAGCAGCATCCTAGCCTAGTGCTACCAGCGTTAGGGGGTGGGTTCGAGGCTTCACAAGGAGGGAAGCTGGGGTTTCATCGTAGCCTAGTCTATTTACTCGAATTTTGGGGCGAGGGTCAAGTTGAGGGTTGAGGTTGGGTGCTTACACAATCCCGTCAATCCCAAGAGACGCCAAGCCGCCAGGCCACTTGCAGAGGTAGCTCCCCCGGCGGGTTCTTCTCTGACAGCATGCCAGCATGCATCAAACAGAATGCCCACTCAGGCTTTAGGGTTTGGGTTTTAGGGTTTAGGGTTTAGGGTTTAGGGATTGCCCCCACCCCCCCCCCCCCCTTCTTTGTCGGAATTGCAAGCATGAACGGCGGAGATGTTTACAGAAAAACAAGGCTACCCAAGTCCTTTTTGATACGTCTGCTCTGTCCTCCCTCCACAGTTCTTAGTGTAATCTGTTGCCTGGCTCGACACCCGTTGAGATGAAATTGACACCCGATTGCATCGAAATCTACTTAAATGTTGTGATGTTCTTCCTCTGTCCCTTCTTCTGCTTGGGCGAGCGCTTTTGCAAAGGTCAAAGAAGCTGTTGCTAAGGTCCGGCAATCCTCATGATACTTGCCCGTCATTACCTTCAGAACCAAGTCCAGCAACGCGCCTGTCGCTTTGTTGAACTTTTCCTTCACAATGGCCAACTGTGTCTGCGGGAGAGCATCGCGATCGACAACAGCATCTTCATCTTCACCCAGCGGCGCATCCACCTTGCTGAACCCTTCGCGAATGAACTTCTCCCAGCACGTGGCAGGATCGCCAATGTCAGTCAACACGTCTGACAGGCGGGCAGCGTCGGTCTCGGGCAACTTTGCCCCCAGCTTCTTGGCGTGGTCCAAGACCTGCAACACAAGAATTGGTTGGCACTGCACGGAAAAAGCAGAAGAACTGCCTACAGCTATCAAGTGGAAAGAAAACCTGGCCTCCAACGCCACAAGGGAAGCTGCCCAGAAGCCCATTTGACCGCTGTGCCTGTTCTGGCACAGCCACTGCTCGGTGGCTTTGAGCGGTGTAATAAGACCTACCCGAAACGCCAGCGTCAGCATCTCAACCATCCACGCAGCCAGCGCTGGAGCACTTCGCTGAGCAGTTGAATGCTTCTCGGCCTCAAGCGCCAGGCGGTGCAATTTTGAATACTGTGTGCTCAGGACCTCACGCCCGAAGAGAGATCGAGCCGGTTAGCCGCCTTCTCAAGCGACCCATCTGCCATCAAGGCCAGCAAGTTCGTGGCAGTCTTGTGCATGGTTTGGTTGTATGCAGCCTTGTTGTAACGCAGGTTCAGGCTTTGCCCCTCCTGCCATGCATCGACTCTCAACAGGCCAACCAAGCGACTGAAGGTGAAGAACGTGTCGCTCAGCGCCGCGTTGTTCAATTTCTTCACATTCTCTGAAGCGGTGTTGCGCGCCATCGCTGCTTTCGCCACATCGTCGCAGACTTGCACTTGTATAGTGACACAGCAGGCGCACTCCCACAGCATCTCTGTCCACTCCTTGTCCTGCAAGAAATCGTGTTTGGGCCACAAACCGTAAGCTACTTGCTACAGGCATTCGCGCGCACATTCTACGCGGTCCTGAGCTCTCAATGCTTTGAACATGGCCAGATACCAAGCCCAGAGAATGAAGCACCCGCCAGCCAAAGGCAGAGAAGCCTCGAAGTTCGATTGCGCAGCGCTTCTCAAGCTGTCAACGGCGCTGACCATCGTGCAAGGCCACAGCAGCCTCGAGCGCGTCACCTTCTGCTTCTTCCCAGCGTTTGCGCCGCGCGACACGTGGGCTTTGAAGCACACAGCCCTGCTGAAGAATTGTTCTTCAAACTGCAAGAGGTTTCCCCAATTCACATCGTCCGCAGGAAGCTTGGGTGCATCAAGGGCTCCTGTCTTCAACCAAAGCGCAAGCCCAGAAGCTTCATACAAGCCAGTCGTTGTCAAGGAAGCCTCGCACTGCTCGGCGTCCCAGACACCGGCCTCACAAGCTCAAGACGAAACCCTGCAAACTTAACTTTCCGGGGGTTGCCCTCGATTGCAGAAAAGGCGCTTTGTAGCCAGCGAGATCATTGGCTTTAACGTTGGCATCGATCTGCAGAGGTGGAGTCTTGTGCATCTGCTTTGCCCTCGTGTACTTGGCCGGCAGCTCCTTGCGCACCTTGCCGCATGCTTCTTGTTGTCTCACATACGACGCACCCGCTGCAACAAGACCACGTAAGCACGCGGCCCACGGAATAACCTGTTGCATAACCTCCCGGGCGCTGCGCGAGGCCTCAGCCACTTTGCTGTGTCGACGTCGAATGAACGTCATAACCGGACATGTCGCAGCACACTGGAAGAAATTCGGCAACGCTCATTAAATCTGGGGAGCTTGCGTCTGCGGCTTCTGGTAGCTCCGGAACTTTTCCACCATCCATTACCGTTGCTACGCCCCGCCGAAGGATTGCTGTTGGACCGTGGGGCCTTGGGACCTTGGGACCTTGAAGCCTGAAAACATGCATGTGAAAGTTCATGAGTCATGCTGAAGCGAAACCTGCTGCAGTTGTGATTTGCACTAGGAAGCAGTTGTGTCTTTTTCAATTCTCCGCACAGATAGACAGGTGCTTTGCTGCAGGCTTGAAAGGAAGTTGCCGTCGCCAGTGTCTGTTCGGACCTGGCTGGGCCTTGGTGCCTGGGGACCTGAGGAAGACGTGGAAGTCGGTTTGCGCTGCGTGCAACATGATCAAAGCTGGCCCTGGCCCTGCTCACAGGCAGCGCGCCTCCTCGCATGCGTTCCAGTTTGGCCTGCTCCACCCTCCATCAGCGCTGCCACTTGTTTCTCGACACTTTTCAAGTCCCGCTGCTGAACATCGACCTTTGCCTTCAAGCCGCCGATGCTGTCTTCCAGCTTGCGCTTTCGGCCTTGCAGCGCTGCCACCTGCATTGCCCGGATTAGCTTGCTTTGTGGCTCAGCTTCGCGCGTGACCGTCTGGGTCATCTCAAACATTGCCTTGCGCAGCAACATCTCGCCAGCATGGATCTTCTCTATCAGCACAGAAGCTGGAAGCAGCCAGAAAGCGCCGACCGGGTGCTCCAGCGGGGCCTGCTTCACCAGCAGCTGGGACGCGCTCATTTCCAGCAAGAGTAGCTTCGGCTTCTTGAAAGCGAAACATGCCAGGCTCATGGCTGTCAAAGATGAGGAGCACAATGGGTACAAGGGCTCCGACCAATCGGCTAGAAACAGGTTCTTGCGGCCACCTGCACTGGTGTTGCGAGCCAGGCAAGACAAGAGCGGCTTTGTGTCCTGGAGGCTCAGGTCCACTGGCACATCTTGGGGCTGGATTGCGACGTAGAAGGTGCATCCAAGGACGCCGCCACTGGGCAGGGCGGCCGCGCCGGCTGAGCTTGCGTCCGCCAACATCCACGGCTCGAGGCGAGGAAGAAGCGTGCATTGCCTAAACTCACAACCAGGCTCAGGTATAGAAACACGTGCGCGCGCACACACACACACACACACACACACACACACACACACACCCCCGCCCACCCACACACACACACACACACACATATACACGCACACACACACACACACACACACACACGCACACACGCACGCACACACACACACACACACACACACACAACACACACACACACACACACACACACACACACACACACACACACACACACACACACACACACACACACACACACACACACACACCACACACACACACACACACACACACACACCACACACACACACACCACACACACACACACACACACACACACACACACACACACCACACACACACACACACACACACACACACACAACACACACACACACACACACACACACACACACACACACACACACACACACACACACACACACACACACACACACACACACACACACACACACACACACACACACACACACACACACAACCACACACACACACACACACACACACACACACACACACACACACACACACACACACACACACACACACACACACACACACACTCACACACACACACCCACGCACACGCACACACCCACGCACGCACACACATGCACGGACGCGCGCACGCACTCACACGTCTTGGTGCAACTCAGCAGCTCCACGGTCAGCATCCACTTCGAATTGTCCTGAAATGGCAATTCTTCGAAAGGCGAACACCAGGGCCGCGCCAGGTAGAAGCCATCATCGCAGCAAAGCAGGTCCCGGCGAGAAAGAGCATCTGCCATGTTCTCCCTTGTTTTCAAGTGCAAGGTCACGAAGTTAGCCGACTGAATTGCCTCCTGGACTTTAGTCCCTGCTACCTGGAGACGTGCTTTCACGGCTTTGTCATTCTCCGAGGGCGCCCCGCCCAGTTGCCGCACACGCTCCGTGCGCTGATGGAACATGGCTTCCATGGCTGTCTCCACAAAGCTGGCGACGAACCTCTTCTCCTGGAACGGAGGGCGGCCTGACATCAAATCTTCCCAGCACTCGCGCCTCATGCCTTCAAAATCTGCAGCCGTCAAGGCCATGTATCCCACGGACGCCCACTGCCCTGGCCCTGCTCCTTCTTGCGTGGCCATGGTGGCTTGCCGATTACTACACACAGCGGAGGAGATTACAAGCCGAGACCTGGAACAATGCAAGTCATGCGCGTGTCGGCAGAATCCATTTGGCACATGAACAAGTGCACTGGCTTCAAGAAGTGCAGATGTTCTTTTCTTCCGCGCAGCAGCTGGGTTCTTCGTGTTTCTTCTTGGCAATTCAAGCTTGAAAGCAAGCAAAAGTCTGGCTAGGCCTTGGGACCTGGATGGACCTTGGGACCTTGCTCTCTGGAAAAAAATAAACAAGGGGAACCTGGGGACCTTCACCAATCAAGACTGGCCCCGCCCCTCGAAGGCTTCTGCTCACTGTGTGGCTTCCTGGCCCAGCTCCACCAACTGTCGCTGGACCTTTTTCAAGTCCCGCTCCTGGACGGCAATGTCCACGTGGAGGCCCTCGATGTTGCCCTGCAGCTTGCGCTTCTGGTCTTGAAGGCGCGCAATCTGGACCTCGCGGAGCACGCTGCTTTGTGGCTCAGCTTCGCGAGTGTTTGTCTGGGTCATCTCAAACATAGCCTTGCGCAGCAACATCTCGCCAGCATGGATCTTCTCGAGCAGCAAAGACGCTGGAAGCAGCCAGAAAGCGCCGACCGGGTGCTCCAACGGGGCCTGCTTTTGCGGCAGCTGGGACGCGCTCATCTCCAGCAAGAGCAGCTTCGGCTTCTTGAAAGCGAAACATGCCAGGCTCATGGCTGTCAAAGATGAGGAGCACAATGGGTACAACGGCTCCGACCAGTCGGCTTGGAACGGGTTCTCGCGTCCAGCTGCGCTGGTGTTGCGAGCCAGGCAAGCCAAGAGCGGCTTCGTGTCCTGGAGGGTCAGGTCCACCGGCGCATCTTGGGGCTGGACAGCGACGTAGAAGGTGCATCCAAGGACGCTGGCGCGGGGCAGGGCGTCCGCGCCGGCTGAGCTTGCGTCCGCAAACAGCCACGGCTCGAGGCGAGGAACAAGAGTGCATTGCCTGAGCTCACAACCAAGCACAGGTACAGAAACACGCGCGCGCAGAGGAGGACAGGACAGGACAGGACACAGGACAGGACAGAGGACAGGACAGGGGACAGGAAGGGACAGGACGCACACACACACACAGACGTCTTGGTGCAACTCGGCAACTGCACGGTCAGCATCCACTTCGATTTGTCCTTAAACGGCAATTCCTCGAACGGCGACATCCAGGAAGCCACCGTGTAGGAGCCAGTGTCCTGGTAGACCAGCTCGCGGCGGGACAACGCGTCTGCGATGTTGTCCTTTGTTTGCAAGTGCAAGATCACGAAGTTGGCCGACTGAATCGCGTCCGCGACTTTGGTCCCTGCTGCCCGGAGATACATTTTGACCGCTTTGTCACTCTCTGAGGGGGCGCCGCCCAATTTGCGCACACGCTCCTTGCGCTGCTGGAGCATTGCTTGCATGGGAGTCTCGAAGGTCTTGGCGTGGAACTCAGGCTCGAGCATGAGCTCCAGCGACTCCCCACCGCGCGCGTTCAAGGTATAGCGCCGCAAGTCTTGGAACTCTGCGGCTGTCAGAGCAATGTACCCCACGGACACCCACTCTGGCGCTGGAGCGGACATGATTGGTGGTGTAGGGCAGCTATAGGGCTTGCTTACAACAATGCTCAGCAAGTGGCTTCAGCACAGTCAGCAATGTCCTCGCTGCGATGCCTGCGTGGATGCCTGGTTGTGCACGCACGAAAAAAGCAACTGGCCTGCATACAAAGCGTCGAGCTGCAGCACGATTCTTGCCTGTCAGCTCAGGGTTACACGTGCACGTTAGGTCACCCTTCGGCTTCCAAAACGGACCCTTCAAACACAACAAGGGCCCGGCGGCAACACTGAAGGGACTTCATTCAAACTGAAGGGTCATGTTGGGGCACCGGTACGTTCGCTTGAATGCGCCCGCACCCTTGAAACAGAGCTGGGACCCTTCAGTTGAGGAGGCCCACTGGGTGGTACGCACCAGCTACCTACAGTAATCTGCCGGGCTGAGTCCCTTCAAGTACCCGTGAGGGTGGCACGCACCTGGGGCAGTGCTTGCTGCTAAACTGCCGGAAGTGATACAGATTCCTCAGAGCAAGGAACGGCCTGGTTTTTTCCCCTCTGAATCCCCAGCTGGGTGGCGCGACCTGAGCCCGCATTGGACCGGGCGCACCATCTGCATCAGCAGCTTTGCTTGCTGAAGAAGTCTGCCAGCTAAGCGCGTTTGGTCGCCAAGCACAATCGAACCCCTGACATTGCGCTGTTCCCCGTCAGGAAATGACATGACACACTGCGTTACCTATTCCTCAAAGGTCTCATTTTCACAGACCCAGCCGACAAGGAGTACTTGCGGGCGAGCGTTCGCACTGCCCGTAAAAAGGCCCAGAGTTCTTGGCGATTGTCGATGGTGAAGATTGCTCTCTTCTTGCTGCAGAACCCCTGGCTCAGCTTCCCGAGCGCTACCTGCCATCTCGACTTGGACGCGGCGGCGCAGGCTTGCAAAGCTTCCAGAATTGCTCTGGCCCTTAGCTCGCGGCGCACACAAAAACCAACCGGCGCGAGCCTTCGCTGTGTCGTGCTAGCTATGAGGCAGCCAGGCAGCTGAGGCATCTCTTTGTGCAGCTGGACCCCAATGAGCCTTGCTGTGGCAGCCGATGCAAAGCGCAGCATGGGCTTCTCTCTCTCTGCGCAAGGATTGTCCATGAAGGCTTCCATCTCAATCTTGTCTGCGACAATTTTCCCCAGGCCGTAGCTGTAAATCAAAGCCACAGCCTCAGCACGCAAAGGGATCATGCTTCAAACATGGGTGCCTCCCAGCAAACAAACGCACATGGAATAAGCGCTCTGCCAAGTGATCGTTCTCAACACAGTCAATGTCCGACTTTTTGTGGACAACGACAACATCGGCCTCCTTGTAGGCATAGAGCGACAGAACGACGAATCCTGGTCGTGGAGCTATGGCTGGCTCCGAAGGGTTGTACCACCGGTAAGCGTACACCAACTTCAGTGGACGCTGTCGTTGGATATCACATAGGGGCGAAGCATGTACTTGGGGCTCCTTGTGACGCAGGCCGCCCGACGTCGGCTCTGTGGGTGTATACACAGGCTGCCCTGCGGCGCGCCGCTCCGCAGCTGTTTCTAAACCTGTGCGCAACCAAGCGGGAAGCGCAACAGACATGTAGCAGACTTGTTTTTTTCCTTATATATAGGAAACAGTCCCTGACATGCAGCCGGGCAGCGTTGAAGTTTTCTCTGAGTGTGCTTCTGGAACTTTTTCAGGCTCTCAATGTGTGTGGGAACGGGCGCTGAACCCCAGCGGGTGCCGGCCAGACAGGTTGACTGGGGTTGCGCCTTCACTGGCAACGACAAAGACGGCACGAAACTCGCAGGCTGCCAGGTCTGTCTTTTCCGGGAAGCCTCCTTGGCGGCAGACACAAGTGCTGATGCAGCCGACTTGCGGCCAGCAACAATCGCTGCCAGGGATCCCGGCTTGTGGCCACGGTTCTTCGGCCTGGGACCTGTCTTGTTGGTCTCGCCCCCGGCGTCGCTCCCACAATAATAGGTCCTGCGAAAGCGCCTCCCGAAATGCTCGAGCCACAGTTGCCCACATTTGACACCAAACGCTGTGGGAACAAGGGCACCGCCCTCTTCAAGGGGGGGAAGAAAGAACTCGCATTCTTTTTGGGGGCCGTCACCAGCCACCTCCAAGATCGAGGCCAGACTGGCCCCGCTCTCCGCGAGGGGACCTGAGTGAGCGTTCAGTTGCTGCAGCAACTCGCCCAAGTTCCTTTCCACAGTTGTTGTGTTGATCTTCACAGCTAGATAGAAGCACACCAGCTCTTCGTACTCGGGCTGCCACTGGAGCCTGGGGGTGTGCTGGGCCCGCCACACCGGATCGAGAACCCAAGACCACGCCTGCCTATTGCTCACCGAGCCACCTTGGTTTTTTGCTGCTTGCCTCATGGAGTGAAGCTTTTGTCCAACCGTGCCAAGGACAGAGCCGGCGCCCTTGCACTGGAGCCCTAAGACCTTGCAGAGTGCCTGGGCATGCTGACGCAACTCCTGGCGCCGGGCAGCATCCCCCCACAAAGGCACATGGAAGACTTGCAGAGCCAGGGCAACTTCATCGCGCGACAAATCCACTTCCAAGCGTTTGAGCATAGCTTGCACCACGCTGCTCATCTCTTCCATGACACGGCGTACTTCAGACACAGAGGCACGCGTGCAAAGATAGTGGACTCGCTGACCGTAGAATATCCTGCAAGCGCGATATGCCAGGCAAAAGACCCACGCAGAAAACAAACCCACAAGCATATTATTAAAAACTGCATGCATGCAAGCTTCGGCTCTGGCGTCTCTATCTCCTCAAACACACGCTGTGAGACCGTCTTGCAATCGCTCTGCGCAGAAACGCCGGGCCTTGGGACCTGGGAACCAGAAGAGCCTCCAGAGCCTGCAGAGGAAGCATCGCTCAAGATGTAGCCGTCCACAAACAAGAGCCGCTGTCGCTCGGAAAACTCATTCAGCAACTCTGGCACCTCTGCTACGTCTGGATCGTCCTTGTCGAACTTGCGCAGGAACGACGTGCACTCAGACGTGTAGTCGCAAGTGAGTGCACAGCGGAACAAAATGGGCGCCTGCATGTTTCTCAGCGCCATCTCGGCCCGATGTCTGATTTCAGGTTTGTTGCGCTCCTGGGCATGGACCCAAATAAGTGACAGCGCAAGACAAGTGCCCAAGAGAGGTCAAGCCGTTAAAAAAAATGCAGCTGGGGCACATCGGCGGCCTGCATGCCGCAGAGTATGGCGATGGCACGGATTAACAAGCAATACTTCATCATAGGCGCGGTAGCAGAGTCGAAACGTGGCTGCGCAAAGGAGAATGCCCGTACGGTTTTCTCCAGGCCAGATTGAGAACCATGCTTCTCAAGGACTGCTTGCTGCGCAGCCATGAGCCGACTCTTCCACACCTCCGAGTGCTGTATGTCAGGAATCAAAGCGTGTTTGCCTGCAAATAGGCGTGTCCATTGTTCTTTGAAATCAGGAAGCGCGTGCAGCGGGTCTTCAAAGGCGATTCGAACTTGGTGCGCAGGATCGAAGCTGACCCATGCCAGGTTAGGTGTTTCCGCGCTACTGGCAATCTGCTTTCCGGACTTCTGCACTGTTGGGCCCTGGTCTGACGCAAAGTGCCGCACATGCTCTTGTATGGTCTGCAAGGCTGCTCGGTCGAGGTTGCCTTCTGGATCCTCGCACGCCCTCGTCAACATCTCAAGAACACTGTCTGTCATTTTCTGGGCCTTGTCTGTGTCGTGTGACTCGAGGGTGTTGGCTGGGACAGCTCCTCCCACTCTGTAAACACCCAGCAATCCTTCCGCCGCCAGCGTCGGGCTGCCGCACCATTCCTCCAAAGACCTAGGGACCTGGGGACCTGCGGGCCTCGCGCCTTCCTCTGCGCAGGCTGATTCTTGCGTAGGACAGGTCGCAGGCGGCATGCTGCACCGGTACCGCAGGAGACGGTAATCTTTCCGATCATCGATTGCTAGGCTGATGCATTTGGCTTGGCGGAGCTTCTCCTTCCGGAAGTGCTTCACCGCCCAGTGCATCACCAGAATGAGTTTCTTTAGACCTGATTCAGAGCAGCAGGCACAAGAGCCCAACCCTGCTGTACATGTTTTCCTGCGGCCAAGACACGAAACCGATCCATACTGCAACGTCGCCCTTCTGCGTAATCATCTGTCTGAAAGAACTTTGCAGCAGCCACAAAAGACGATGCGGTACGACAGGGCGTAGCCAATCTTTCGGCTGCGGAACATTCCCGTTGAAGAGGCCCTGGTGCTGCAGACTGTGTGGGAGGCATTGAGCTATCGGCTGATCCGGAGCTAGGAAGACGTTGGTGGCGACCTTGTGGACGAAGTTTCTGCTGTGTTGTCGAACGCAACACGCCTGCATGGCTTTCCTTGTTTTCATCATCCGTTTCATCACTTCAGTACGGGTGCTGCGACGTAGAATGCAAACAAGTGACACAGACCTGACCTCATAGGCGCCCCATCTCGTTGAAAGCCGACTGCCAATCCTTTCGTTTGTTTTTTCTCAGACATGCGTGCGCCCGCGGCACAGCATAATACTACAAGAATGCTGTTCAGCAATGAAAGAATAATCCTGAAACACGGCTGAGAGACAGCTTCTTGCGTTGACTCGGGTCCTGTGCTAGTACATGCATGAGATGCGCGCAGAATTGACAGCCCATTCCCCAAGCTCCACCGCGGCGCGCCGGCCGCTGTGCCAGCCAAACAGTGCGCTGCTTCTTGCCCCAAGAACTGTGGCAGAGGCTTCCGATTGTTGCCCACGCCGACTGGAACCGCAAGAACCTGCGCAAGGATGTCAGTCAAACACCAGCCGGCTCAGATGAAACACACCTTACCGAAAACCGTGAAGTGAGTGAAGCGACCGAGTCGCTTGCATCGAGCACACCGTGCCGCAATCTTGCTGTTGCTGTGCCGGGCTAAGTGCTGCACGTCTGTTTCATCAGCCTGGCCGACATCTACTTCGCTCTTGTCGAGGCCTGCAGCTTCCTGCACATCCTCTTGCAGGGCAGGCCGGAGCCTGGGCTTCTTTCGGTTATCGGCGCCCTGTGTCTCGGCACCAGGCTGGTGGGGTCGCTTGCGCTGAGTATTGGGCTGATTCTGCTTTGGCATGGAAATTGGTTTCAAACCAAACCGCCGCGCCAAGCCATCACATCTTGAAATATCCTTTTTCGCGCCCTGCGAGTTAGGGCATCTCGGCATGGCAAAGAGGCAGCAACTTTGAACAAGTGTCTAGCCACCTTTTGTGGGGGAGTATTATTTTGAATGCATGCAAATGCTACACAGGCTAGACTCTGTCGGGAATGGGCTGCAAGAAACCCTTCTTCCTTCAACTGCTGCTGCGCGGGAGGAACAAGACGCTGCGCGACTCTCTTGGAGTGAGCATCGCAATTTCACTGTTGTTGTTGCTGGGCTCGAAAGCGGGGTCAACGTGCGCATGCAGGCCCAGCAGTGCACGTGTTCCTTTTTGAGCCTCCCGGCCTGGGGACCTGAGGACCTGATAAGTCGGCCATGAATTACTATGTTCATTGTTAGCAACCGTCGACAGCTGTGCAATTCGACGAATGTCCATGACACCGCACACGCAGCATGATGAATTAAAGCACTGAAAAGTAATTGTAACTGGTCGGGTCATTGCTTGTACCAGCGCCTTGCAAGGCCATTAGCCGCCTTCACTGCTTTGATCGTCTTTCCTGCTCCACAGGGTTTGCCAGGACGGGTCCAGTGGCCACCACGTTTGGATTTCGCAGGCAGGCCCCAGCGGCTTCCCAAGCGTGCCTCTGTAGTCTTGGTCAACTGACATTGGCTGGCAACCTGCTTGCGCAGCATGCGACTCTTGGGCCCGCGCGACGCCGAAGCCTGGAGCTTCTTGGACCAGCCAGCGCACGACTTCCTCGGGGGGGATCGTGGCTCACACGCAGCCTGTAGACTCCAATTGACAAGACTGCACGCCATCAGCATGGCCAGCCCAACAGCCTGGACGTGCATCGTGTTTCCGGCCATGCATGCCAGGTCCTTGTCGCAGAGGTCACGCGGAAAAGTCATCCGGTGAACCGGGAAGCCATGCAGGATCAATTTCTCCATGGGGCTGACCACTCTGCCAGCTTCCCGAACTGCCAACAACCCGCCCGGCGTCACTGTGGCGAGCGTACCATCGATACGTACACCGGCACGGTTGATGTTCTGCGACAAGTCTGCGGACAAAGCAGGCGCATTGCTATGCACCGCTGATAGAATGGTCCATGCTTCTCGTTCACGTGGCAAACGCAAGAAGAAGTTGTCTGAGGAGGGAAGCTGCGACGCCATGCTGGGTGTCGGCAACGTGTAACCGCGAGAGGCGGCAAAACTTTCGTGCAGGGCGTGCCACTTTGCCTGGCCTGCCCTGCCGGGGAAACCTTTTTCCCTGGCTGTCATCCACGCATCCTTCCTGAAGCTCTGATGCTTCTGCACCCAAGGGTGACTTGCTGGCAGAAGCCTACTCATGACACCGGAACTGCTTCCTTCTGCCTGGCACGCCTGCCTGATGTGAGACCACATGGAGACGATGCATGTGTGAACGTGCTCCGGGCGCATGTTGCAGACATCTGCACGCACACCAATGAAGTAATAACGCGGTCGCTGCACAGGCTCGCCCAAATCGACCGGGTTCAGGAGAATCATCGCAACCACATAGCCCTGCTGCTGCAGCGCGTCAAGCACACGAGTCTTCACTCGTGCTATGCCTTGCACATTCTCCAAGACGAAGCAGGCCGGCAAGATCCGGCCAATGCGCCGGACCACAGCATAAAATATTTTGGCCTGCTCCTCCTCCAACAACATTGTGTCATGGTGCAGCATACTAAACGGCTTGCAGGAGAAGCCCGAGACGTATAGTTGGACAAACCGAGTCTTGCAGTCTTCGAACACGCTGCTGAGTAGCTCTTTGGGCATGGTGTTGGCCTTTATCATCTGCCTGGGCGCTGTCGCACATTCGGATGCGAACTCGTGCGCGTGTTGCACGCGCAAGCCTCTGAGAGCATGAATGGGAGCCTCGATGCCGGAACAGTCTGTCCCGACCGTCAGCACATCTGGCAAGTCGCCAGCAGGACTGAGACCAGCCTTTGCCCTGGCTTGCGCCGCGGCAGCAACCACTTTCCTGCGCAGAGGTATGCCCCAGTCCTCCAACCAATGCAAGAGGGCAGCAGGCATGCCATCCGCCATGATGCAAGGTCTGGAAACAAGCAATTTGGGAGCTGGACCTTGGGACCTGTTGGGCCAGATGCCTGCGTCGAGCCAGCCATCAAGCATGCTTTTGTGAAGATGTCCCAACGGTGCCTGAGATGTAGGCGAGATCCCTTCCAATGTACTCCGCACGGCGCGTGGAAGCTGTTCAGAAACAAAACAGGAGCCAAGCCTAGTGCACTGCGCAGGCGAAGTGGTTGGCAACGGCAACCTTACGTGTCGAAAGCATGCCACTCCAGCTAGCTGCTGCAAGCGCGCACCTTTCAACAAACTTCGAATACCCTTCAATGCTTCTTGCAGAATGAAATCTCAACCAAGGGCAACATTCGCACTTTGAAGGGTGTTTGCCCTTTCTCAGCTCCCGAAACATAGGCTTTCCAAAGACAAGCCGGAGAAGACCGGCCACCTCTGCTGGCTAGAGTTAATCTGAAGTAAGACTTGCCGTACAAAAATGAGTTCAGCCCCACGCTGCCCCATTCAAGCCATCTTCATTGCACTTGCCGCAAGTACGACGACGACGACGACGAGGACGTGTTCCTTACAATTAAACCCAAAACCCTAAAGGCCCCTCTGTCGGCAAAGCCACCCAGCGACTCGGGATCGTAGCTGAAGGGCTCGAATCTGTGGGCGAGAAAGGCCTGGAAGAGCCAGGACTTAGGGTTGGAACCCCTGAACCCTAAACCCGAAATTCTGCAAGACCCGCAGCGTGCCGTGGAGTCACCAAATCCACGGGCCGTATTTCGGGCCCTACACCCCAAACCCGAAAGCCTAAGCCGTTATAAGGGGTTGTCCTGGCTGTACCCTCCCACACCCAACTGCCAGCTTCACTCTCGCCAGGCTTACGTGGAATCTCTATAGTAAATAACAGGGCACCCTTTTGGTTTAGGGGGGCTGACGAGGAACCCCAATCCGAAAAACAAGCGGATGAGGGCTTACTGTGAGTCCTAGGTTAGGGACCCTAACCCCCTAAAGCCTCAACCCCAAACCCTCAGCCCGGGCTTGGGCGTTTCAGGATTTAAGGTTTGGGGCTTAGGGTTTGAGATGTCTTTAAGGGGTTTTTTGAGATTTGCCCGAGGCATTTCGGTGGATTTTGGGGGTTTAGAGGGTTTCGGGCGCAGTAGGGTTCAGGGTGTAGTATGATGGTGGAATCGTAACCCTCAAAAAGACAATAAGGGCACCAACAACGCCAGAACCCTAGGTGTAGTTTCTGCTTTGATGGCTCAGGGCTCTTTTCAGGCCTACTGCAGGATCGAGGTAAGTTTTTCGGATTAGGGATTAAGGTTCAGGTTGGGACTTTTTTTCGGCTAGGGATTCAGGGTTTAGGGTTTAGGGTTTGGGGATTTGCCTTTGAGAGTTAAGGCTTTCTTTGTACCTCCCAGGAGGTTGGGCAGGGTCTTTGGTGGGTATGTTCAAGGTTTAGACAGTGAACCCGCAAACAACCCTGAACTCGAATCCCTCTTGAAAATAGAATCTGTAAAATACTAACCCTCCTAAAGAGACCCAGCTTGTATGGAAATGGCTCCTTTACTCTTGCAAAGATGGGGACGATAGTGAAGCCCTAAACCCTATAAACCCTACACCCCAAACCCTAAAGGCTTCCTCATCCAGACCCCCAACCTCAGCGCCCGAAGTTGGATGTTCGTGTCGCAGACCCTGCGGCAGGTTTTAGCAAGGTTCTACTTCGAGGGTAGAGGGCTTAGGATACGGCGCTTAACCCTAAAGCCCCCAAACCCCTACGGGTGTTTCGGGCCCTAGAGAGGGATCTTGAGGAACTCACCCCCAAACCTAGGGGGGTTAGGATGTAAGGTTTTGGGGCTTAGCCTCATCAAGCCCGATATGTCCAAACTTTGAAGGCTGCTTGATGTAAAGACCCCATGGCAGCCCTTACGCTCAAAATAGCAAACCTGACAGAATGAGGCCTGTCCAAAAACCCTGAACTAAGAGGTCTTGGAACCCTATAGGGTAGTGACATGATAGCTAGTAAAAAGAAGCTCTGCAAACCCTAAACCCTAAACCCTAAACCCGAAACCCTAAACCCTAGACTGCTTCCCAAGGGCCTGTGCGCCGCGCCACCAGGCCCTTGAGGCTCACGATGGGGGTCAGGAGAGCGCTGCTGAAGCCGCTGAACCTCTCTCTGCAGCGGGTGATTGCGAGTCTGTGCGTGCGTGTGTGACTTTTGTTTTGGGGCGCGGGCGGGAGGGGGGGGGGGGGGGGGGGGGGGGGGGGGGGGGGGGGGGGGGAGGAGTGGAGTTAGGCTTCGGGATCTTAGGGCCTATGAGGCCACAGCACAAGAAGCCCTAGAAACTGGCAGGTTCCAGCCCCCAATTCTTCGGGCAGAGCCTCCCAACAAATCTGCGGTGAGAGTCAGGGTTCCCTAGGCAGCCTGAAAGCCAAAAAGCATTTTTTAGGGTTTAGGGTTTAGGGTTTAGGGTTTAGGGTTTAGGGTTTAGGGGTTGTAGGTCTTGCCTCGCATCTGGAGTTGAGGGTATCGTTCTAAATGGGCTTCGTGTTTTGTGCTTTGATACGCGGAGGGGGGGGTTCAGGAGCTCAAGGCTGCACCCTGCAGCCCAAATGTACTTCCATGACCTTCGCCCTAAACATCCCTCAGCCCTAAGCCTCATGGGCCACGTGGGTGGCTGATCCATTAGGGTTTAGGGTGTAGGGTTTAGGGTTTAGGGTTTAGGGTTTAGGGTTTAGGGTTTAGGGTTAGGGTTTAGGGTTGAGGGTTTAGGGTTTCGGGTCTTGCCTCCGGTCGGGTGGCTCCGCGTGCAAGTCCAGAGAAATCCTCAGCCAGCGAAGCTTTAACTGCACCCCCCCAAACCCTCGTTTAGGGTTTAGGGTTTAGGGTTTAGGGTTTAGGGTTTAGGGTTTGGGGGAACCCAAACCCTTAC